GACACAGAGTGTTGGACTGGAGGGGCCATTGGCCTGATCCAACATTGGCTTCTCTTATGTTCTCTTATGTTTTTCATCCCCTGCCCCCCGATGCTTATTCACTGTAGACACTGGCAACTGAGATGGGGGTATTCGGTGTACAAAGCGACTACTCTTCCACTCAGCCACGGCCCTTCTCTGTATCCAAGCCCATTTTGTGGAATACACTCGTGCAGGGCTATTTCTGGGGCCGGAACGCACAGGAACGGAGTTACAGCTGGCTTCAGAGTTGGCCACGCCCACTACAGCCAAAACCTCTGCGTGTGTGGCCAGAGAGGAAAGGTCTGGAGAGCAAAACCCCCCCAGTGACTCCAAGGTGGGCCGGGGGGGGGCTGGAAGGATCAGGGAGGTATTTAAATGCCTTCCCCAGCCTGTCGAAGGGCCGGCTTGCCCAGGCTTCCCACAGCCACGGGGCACCTGGGCAAGCCAAGGGTAGGCACAGGGTGTGGCCTAATATGCTAATGAGTTCCTGTTGTTGGGCGTGGGCCGTTATGCTAATGAGTTCCTGCTGGGCTTTTTCTACAAAAAAAGCCCTGCATTCGTGTGTATATAAAAATCCTCATAACGGATTGAGAAAAGGAGGAGGTGGAGATTTACATCCTAGCTCCTTTTCCATACAATGGTTTCCCCGTCTTTGACACAGTCATTCCATATGGTATAGGGTCACCTACATGGGTATGTATGGAACTGCGGTGGCTCAAGTGGTTAAGATGCTGAACTGCAGGCTGTGGAAGGTCAGTAGTTCAGCAGTTCAAGACCCAAGTGTGCCACATGACAGAGTGAGCTCCCATCTCTAGTTCCAGCTCCTGCCAACCTAGCCGTTAGAAAGCAAGAAATTGCAAGTAGATAAATAGGTACCACTTCAGTGGGAAGGTAACAGCATTCCGTGTGCCTTGGTGTTTAGTCATGCTGGCCACATGACCACGGAAACGTCTTCGGACAGCACTGGCTCTTCGGCTTTGAAACGGAGATGAGCACCGGAACCCTAGAGTCGGATTCGACTGGCTTTCAAGCAAGGGAACCTTTACCTTTACCTTTTTACATGGGTATGTGCCATAATGGAATCGGAAAGCGCCACTCTCTTGACAAGGAGAGATATTGGCCACTTGTGGGCAATGCTCCCTCTAAGCTGTGGAGTCTTGTGAGCAAAAATTCTACTCTGGGAGCTACTGGCATGAAAGCTGTGAGCGAGCAATTTGGCTCCTGCATGAAACAGTCTGCTCTGAAGCCATCCTTCTGGAGATGAGACAAAAATGTCTGAGCTGGAGGCTAAAAAACTGGGAGCTAGCCCACACTGGCTTAAAGGGAACACTGCTTGTAGAAGGAAGGAAGGCAGGAAGGAAGGAAGGAAGGAAGGAAGGAAGGAAGGAAGGAAGGGCCAGGTAGGAGGGGATGGGAGAAAGAAGAAGAAGAGTTGGTTTTATACCCTGCTCTTCAGTACCCAAGGGAATCTCAGAGTGGCTGACAATCGCCTTCCCTTCCCCTCCCCAGCAAGCACCTTGTGAGGCAGGTGGAGCTGAGAGAATTCTGAGAGAACCGGAACTGGCCCAAGGTCACCAAGCAGGCCTCATGTGTCTCAAAATGGCCAACAATCTCCTTCCCTTCCCCTCCCCATTAAACCCGGTTCTCCCAGATTAGAGTCTGCACACTTAACCACTACATCAAACTGGCTCTTACTACACCAAACTAACTGAGCCAAGGTCACCCGGCTGGCTTCATGTGGGGGTAGAGTGGGGATTCGAACCCCGTTCTCCAGATTAGAGTCTGCAGCTGCTAACCATTACACCAAACTGGCTCTCTGCCTGAGACCCTGGAGAGCAGCTGCCAGTCTGAGTGGGCAATATTGACTTTGATGCACCAATGGTTGTCTGACTCAGTACAAAGTGGCTTCACGCGTGTTCATGTGTGCATTTATGATTTTAAAGGAGTGAAAGCATTTTGAAAATAGTCGCAGTAAAACAGTGAAGAACAGGAGCCGGGAACAAAACGTCTGGGCTGTCGAGAGCCGATGCCGTGATAAATATTGGAGGCACCCAAGGCTCTTCATAATCTATGTGCCACTGGTATGCTTGAGAATCCAACACTATTTTACTTACAGACAAAATTTACACTCTTGCCTTTTGGTCCAGCAGACGCAGGAATATAAGAAGATCCCTGCTGGGTCACGCCAACTGATCAGTCTAACACCCTGGTTCCGACAGGGTCCAGACAGATGGTTGGGGGAAAGAAGAAGAAGAGAAGAGACAGGATTTATACCCTGCCCTTCACTACCTGAAGGAGTCTCAGAGCAGCTTACAAACTCCTTTCCCTTCCCCTCCCTACAACAGACACCCTGTGAGGTAGGCGGGGCTGAGAGAGCTCTGACAGAAACAGCTCTTTTTTCAAGAACAGCTCTGAGAGAACTACGGCTTGCCCTAGGTCATCCAGCCAGGTGCAAGTGGAGGAGGAGTGGGGAATCAAACCCGGTTCTCCCAGATTAGAGTCCGCGCACTTGAGGTAGGTGGGGCTGAGTTGAGGTAGGTGGGGCCGAGAGGGCTCTCTCAAGAACTGTCCTTGAGAGAACAGCTCTGAGAGAACTACGGCTTGCCCTAGGTCATCCAGCCAGGTGCAAGTGGAGGAGGAGTGGGGAATCAAACCCGGTTCTCCCAGATTAGAGTCCGCGCTCTTAACCACTGCACCAAACTGGGCAAGAACCTTCCTGTGGGGTGTTCCCAGCATCTGGAATCCCTAAGCAGACTGCCTCTGAACAAGGAGGCTCCATCGAGCTACCGCGTCTGCTGTCACAAACGGGCAGAGCCCCAGAACATTTAAAAGGCACGGGGGAATGAGCAGTAACCGGATACTCGGATGCCTGAAGGGGAGAGAGAAAATTGCCTAGGCTAGGATCAGAACTCGTATCAGACTGTCCAGAGAAGCCTGGAAGCGCTGGAAGACAGTGCATCTCCTATTTGGGGTGGGGGGGTGGGGAGAGTTCTAGGTATCCCGCTCAGCTCCGCCAGGATGCATCCACCCTATTTAACCAGCTGAAATAATTGCAAGCGGGCCAGTTTTTACCACAGCATCCCCCCCGCCCCCTTTTGCTTTTTAGATTCCCCCAGCTGCTGTTTCATGTGCGGCACTGATCTTATGAATTCCTTCAGCACTTGCTTTCTCGTTCGTGGGATTTCTCTTTTGTATGTTCAGCGCGGTGGTGGATTTGTGTGTGGGCGTGCGTGTATCTCAAAGGCCTCTTTGGAAAGACAACTGGTAAATCCATAAAGATACGTGTTTTTAAAAATCAAGACGTCGGCATGAATTGAACTTTGATAAGAATCTGCAGCACAGTCCTAAGGAGGTTTGCTCAGACACAAGCCACCTTTTTACCTTAATGGGACTTATTTCTTATTAAGCCTGCTTAGTCGGTCATTTCTAGGACTCATCATCTCACACAGCATCATTTGACAAGGTTCTCCTCTGAGCTCTGTGTGGCTTTAAGTCCCGCATATGTCCTTTTCTGCCTGCGGCTGAAACCGTCTTCATATGCCCAGATGCACTTCCGGCTGTTTTCTACCTTATTCAGAGGAGCTCAGAGACCCAGCCGCACTTCAGGTATTAGAGTTCTGCCTCAGCTATCTTTGTACAAAGAGAGTTGCCGGGCAGTGTTCCCTCTAAGCTGAGTGAGTGTGAGCCAGCTCACCGTTTTTTAGCCTCCGGGCTCATGCATTTTCTGTCTCGGCTCCGGAAGGATGGCTCCAGAGCAAACTAATTCATTTTTGTTGTTGTTCAGTCGCACAGGTGAGTCCGACTCTTCGCGACCCCATTCATGCAGTAGCCAAATTGCTCGCTCACCACTTTAATGCCAGGAGCTCACAAAGAAAGTCGATTTTTTTGCTCACAGCTTAGAGGGAGCATCGGTGTTGGGGCTCAGACCAAGCCAAACGGACACCTAACCCCTTGCAAACTCCCCTTGCGGAGAGGACACACCTGAGGATCCCCATTCCCCCAGGCTTATGGGCAGGGGACTGAAATTGCCCTCTGTACGTGCTCAGAGGCACTCCTGTTTTCTTAGTTCTGTGTCCTCGGGGTGGTGGGGTATTGGGTTCTGCCCCCCCACCGCCCTTGTCCTAGCCAGAGTTCCCTCTAAGCTGAGTTAGTGTGAGCTAGCTCACAGTTTGTTAGCCTCCGGCTCACACATTTCTGTCTTCGCTCAGGAAGGATGGCTCCAGAGCAAACTCATTTATGCAGGAGCCAAATCGCTTGCTCACAACTTTAATGCCAGTAGCCCACAAAGCAGAATTTTTGCTCACGAGACTCCACAGCTTAGAGGGAGCATTGTGTTCCCTCTAAGCTGGGTTAGTGTGAGCCGGCTCACAGCTTTTTAGCCTCCAGCTCACACATTTTCACCTTTGGTCAGGAAGGAGGGCTCCAGAGCAAACTAATTTCTGCAGCAGCCCAATCGCTCGCTCAGAACTTTAATGGCAGGAGCTCACAAAGTAGAATTTTTGCTCACAAGACTCTGCAACTTAGAGGGAGCATTGGTCCTAGCCTCTAAGCTGAGTTAGTGTGAGCTAGCTCACCATTTTTAAGCCTCTGGCGCGCACATTTTTGTCTTGGCTAAGGAAGGAGGGCTCCAGAGCAAACTCATTTATGCAGGAGCCAAATCGCTCGCTCACAATTTTAATGACAGTGGCTCACAAAGCAGAATTTTTGCTCACAAGACTCCACCACTTAGAGGGAGCATTGTGTTCCCTCTAAGCTTGGGTTAGTGTGAGCCGGCTCACAGTTTTTTAGCCTCCGGCTCACACATTTTCACCTTCGCTCAGGAAGGAGGGCTCCAGAGCAAACTAATTGATGCAGTAGCCCAATCGCTCGCTCAGAACTTTCATGCCAGTAGCTCACAACGTCGAATTTTTGCTCCCAAGCCTCCACACCTTAGAGGGAGCGTCGGTCTTTCTAGCCCTGGGTCCCTGCCACGCCCTTACCTGTTTCCCCGCGGCGGCGGCCAGCGACTTCTGCAGGAACTGCCGGAGCCTCGGGTCGGAGGGGGCGGCGGCCACGGTGCTCAGCGCCAGGGCGACCGAGACGAGCAGGGCGAGAGCGCACTGGAGGCGGCTGGTCAGCATGACGGCGGCGGCGGAAAGTTGGCCGAGAGAGAGAGCGACTCGGGTGGCAGAGACGGGATTGGAGACGGGAGCCGCGTTGCCGCTCGTCTGCGCTTCTCCTCCGGGCTGGGGGGTGTCTGGGATCTCCGCCGACGCCCCCCGCTTTTAAAGCCTGCCGCTGACGTCAGGGAAGAGTCGCCCCCCACCCCTCGCCGAAAGGAGCCGGCGGTTTTGACGCCCCTTGGAGCCGGCAGCTCTAGCGCCCCGAAGTGATGGGGACTGACACGTGAATGCAGGGGGGGGGGCCGAAGGGGGCAGGGCCCCCCCCCCGCTCGCTCCGAAAGGATGATTTAGGAGTCAGGGTGACGCTCATTCCGCTCATCATCTCATCCCCTCCCAAGGCAATATTTATTGGGGGGGGGGGGGAAGGTTTCACAACCGGCCGAGGAAATCTCTGGGCACGTCTGAGCGCGGCGGGGGCGGGGGGGGCGGATCCCTTTTCTCCCGGGAGAGGCCGAGCGGAGGATTGCGAAAACGGACCCGGAGGCGAAACTGACCCGCGAGGCGTGAAACTGACCAGGGGAAAGCGGAGGGAGGCGGTGAAACTGACCAGAAAGCCGTCGCCCGCGTCCGATTGCCGGACGCGGCTGATCACTGTTCCCACTGAGTTAGTGTGAGCTGGCTCATAGTTTGTTAGCCTACGGCTCACACATTCTTGTCTTCGCTCAGGAAGGAGGGCTCCAGAGCAAACTAACTTCTGCAGCAGCAGAGTCGCTGGCTCACAACTTTAATGCCAGGAGCTCTCAAGTAGTGTTCCCTCTAAGCTGAGTTAGGGTGAGCGAGCTCACAGTTTTTTGAGCCTCCAGCTCACACATTTTTGCCTTAGCTCAGGAAGGATGGCTCCAGAGAAGACTAATTTCTGCAGCAGCCGAGTCGCTGGCTCACAACTTTAATACCAGGAGCTCACAAGCAGTGTTCCCTCTAAGCTGAGTTAGTGTGAGCGAGCTCACAGTTTTTTGAGCCCCCGGCTCACACATTTTTGCCTTAGCTCAAAACGTATGGCTCCAGAGCAGACTAATTTCTGCAGCAGCCGAGTCGCTGGCTCACAACTTTAATGCCAGGAGCTCACAAGCAGTGTTCCCTCTAAGCTGAGTTAGTGTGAGCGAGCTCACAGTTTTTTTAGCCTCTAGCTCACAGATCACAACATGGCCACCCCAGAGGGTTTTCACGGCCCTTCCAGGGTCTCTTGTCTTTGCTCAGAAAGGACGGCTCCAGAGAAAACTGATTTATGCAGTAGCCAAATCGCTGGCTCACAAGGTAGACTTTTTGCTCACAAGACTCCACAGCTTAGCGGGAGCGTTGGCTCCGATGGGTCCCTGTTGAATTCGTTTTTCCCCAAGCGCCTGTTTTAGGATGGAAGCCTTTGCAGGAACTGGTGGGCAGCCTCAGACAAAAGCAGCCCTGAGCCAAGAGGAAAGGCAGGTATAAATATTCTAATTGAGAAATAAAGCCCCAGAGGTTGTCTGCTAAGCAGGCCCCATTGGAATGAATGGGTGTCTGCAAACAGCAACACATCATGCTGCCTGATACCGAACCAGACCCTCCGTCCATCAAGGTCAGGATTGTCCACTCGGACAGGCAGCTGCTCTCCAGGGTCTCAGGCGGAGGTCTTTCCCATCACCTACAGCCTGGTCCTTTTAACTGGAGATTCTGGGGATTGAATCTGGGACCTTCTGCATGCCAGGCAGAGGCTCTACCACTGAGCCACAGCCCCTCTTTACAGCTCTCCAGGGACTCAGGCAGAAAAGGGTCTTCCACATCACCTACTGCCTGGTCCTTTTTACCTGGAGATTCCGGGGACTGAACCTGGGACCTCCTGCATGCCAGGCAGAGGTTCTTCCACTGAGCCACAGCATCTCTTTACAGCTCTCCAGGGTAACAGGCTGAGGTCTTTCCCATCACCTACAGCCTGGTCCTTTTAACTAGAGATGCTGGGGACTGAATCTGGGACCTTCTGCATGTCAATCAGATGATGGAGAAGAAAAGAGACTGGGTTTGTACCCCACCCTTCACTCAGAGCGGCTGACAATCTCCTTTCCCTTCCCCTCCCCACAACAGACACCCTGTGAGCAGTGCTCCCTCTAAGCTGGGGAGTCTTGTGAGCAAAAATTCTACTTTGTGAGCTACTGGCATTTAAGTTGTGAGTGAGCTATTTGGCTACTGAGTAAATTAGTTTGCTCTGGAGCCCTCCTTCCTGAGCTGAGACCAAAAATGTGTGTGCTGGAGGCTAAAAAACTGTGAGCTAGTTCACACTAACTCAGGTTAGAGGGAACACTGGCTAGGACCAATGCTCCCTCTAAGCTGCGGAGTCTTGCGAGCAAAAATTCTGCCTTGTGAGCTACTGGCATTAAAGTGGTGAGGTAGGTGGGGCTGAGAGAACTCCTTCGAGGACTGCTCCCGAGAGCACAGCTCTGAGAGGACTTGTGGCTGACCCAAGGTCACAGCAGCAGCTGCATGTGGAGGAGGAGTGGGGAATCGAACCCGGTTCTCCCAGATTAGAGTCCGCGCTCCTAACCACAACACCAAACTGTGCCAGTGAGCCACGGCCCCTCCACAACAGCTGGATCGGTGTGCAGTTTATCAGCTCTAGGAAAAGATTCCAAATGCTGCCTGCCTGGGACCTCTTTCGGTGGGAAGGGAAAGGGAGGAGAAAGGAAATTCAGGTGGTCATGGAAAGTGCCGTGAAGTCACAGCCGACTTATGGCGACCCCAGAGGGTTTTCGAGGCAAGAGACATTCGGAGGTGGCTTTGCCCTTGCCTGCCTCTGCGTGGCGACCCTGGGCTTCCTTGGTGGTCTCCCACCCAAGCATTAATCAGGCCCAGTGTTGGGTTTTGATAGTGAGATATTGAAAAAAATGGCATTTAGCAGAGAAAAAATAGCTCAGCAGAGCTAGAGTAAAATAATTCAGACTCAGAGTCCATGTGTGATTAAAATAGAAAGTTTTTACTAAATTCTAGCATAGGGAAGGGTAACTGGGATGAAAATAACAGAGCTAAATCGGCTACATCCTTACTCTACAAAGACAAAACTAGAAGAGAGTTATGGTTTCTCTTCTTCTTGTTCTTCAGAACAGCAAACAAAGGCGGGAAGAGGAGCCATAAAACACTTGGAATTCACTGCCGCAGGAAGTGGTGGCGGCTACAAGCATGGACGGCTTCAAAAGGGAATTAGATAAGCATCTGGAGCAGAGGTCCATCAGTGGCTGTTAGCCACAAGGTATAGAGAGGGACTCTCAGTCTGGGGCAAGGGATGCTCTGTATTCTTGGTGCTTGGGGGATGGGGCAACAGTGGGAGGGCTTCTAATGTCCTGGCCCCACTGCTGGACCTCCTGATGGCACCTGGTATTTCTGGCCCCTGTGTGATACAGAGTGTTGGACTGGATGGGCCATGGGCCTGATCCAACATGGGCTTCTCCTATGTTCTTATGTAAAATGCTAAAACACTTTGACACTTTCGTTCCAATCAAACTCCTAGATCAGGGAGAATTTTCCCGGGCTTGTACTCCTAAAACAACATTGGTTACATGAGAAACATGTGACTTCCTGTAAGCAACACAAACAAACATTTAACCCCAGATACACTGAGTGTTTTCAACTTGTAATACCCAACACCCAGTCCTGCTGGGCTTCTGACATCTGTTGAGAAGAGGCTAGACTGGGCCCTCCAGGTCAGGACAGGGGACTCTTCCACCCCCGCATGTGGATGGAAGCCATTGTGCCAGGTGAATGAAACCATGATTGCGTATGGGACGTCCGGCCATATTTATTATATTTATTTATTCTTTAGATTTGTATCCCACCCTCCCCGAAGGCTCAGGGCGGCTAACAAGGGCATAAATGCCTAATAAAACAATAAAAACAATATAAAATATAATACAATATGCAAAATAATACAATCAATAAAATATTGGTGCTCCACTACTCGCTCCAATTCATAAATCAAGATGGTATTCTGCAGCTGTATATCAATCCAACGACCAGATCTATGTCCCCGCAGCCCTATCATCCGCCAGGCACGTCTCGCACCCCCGATGGTACCCACACTAGCGGTGGTAAGGGTGCGGTGATGGAAAAAGTGTTGGTGGAATGATGGTGGCGGCGGCTCCTACTCGAAAGCCAGGCGGAAGAGCTCTGTCTTGCAGGCCCTTCGGAACTGCCCAAGGTCCCGCAGGGCCCGGATCTCTTCTGGGAGCTCATTCCACCAGGTAGGAGCCGCCACCGAAAATGCCCTGGCCCTGGTCACAGCGAGTTTGATGTTCCTGGGGCCTGGAATATCCAGGAGATTTTGGGTCCCCGACTGTAGTGCCCTTGGGGGAACATGCGGGGAAAGGCGGTCTCTTAGGTAGGCCGGACCCTGGCCATATAGGGCTTTAAAGGTAAGAACCAGCACTTTGAAGCGGATCCGGTTAGTCATTGGCAGCCAGTGCAGTGCTTTCAGCACAGGCCGGATGTGATCCCGTCTAGGGAGACCCATCAGCAGCCTGGCTGCAGCATTCTGCACTAGCTGCAGCTTCCGAATTTGTGACAAAGGCAGCCCCATGTAGAGAGCGTTACAGTACTCTAACCTCGAGGTGACCGGTCGCATGGATCACTGTGGCCAGGCCCTGCCCCTGCCTGGTGGAATGAGCTCCCGTGTGAGATCAGGGCCCTGCGGGACTTATTGCCGTTCCACAGGGCCTGCGAGACGGAGCTCTTCCACCGGGCAGTTGGTTGAGGCAGTGGACGTCCCCCTCTCCCCCCCCTCCAGTTTCTTCGGCCCTGACGTTCCTGGCCCGTTGTCCATCAGTGGCCTTGCTTCTGATTAGTCATCTGACAATTTTATAGTCACACGGTAATGTACGATTGTAAACTGTTGTTTTAATATTGTTTTAATGGGATAGTTAGTTGGATAGTTAGCTGTTGTACACCGCCCTGAGCCCAGTGGGGAGGGCGGTATAGAAATCTAAATAAATAAATATATGTAGAAAAGAGCAAGAGTCCAGGAGCACCTTCAAGACTAACGAAATATGTGGCAGGGGGAGGAGCTTTCGTGAAAGCACCCTGCCACAGATTTTGTTAGCC